ACACCCAGGTGTTGGATCCGGGTGTGCACTAATCAAGGTCCTAGATATAATTCTACATTTATTGTGCTTAACATACTAGTTACTTATTAGTTAGTAGTAGTCTTAGTTAGGTTCCGAAAACCCATTAGAAATCTAGTATCAAAGCCAAAGATCAATATTTTTAAGATTGGAATTAAGAATGTTAGTAAGATTTTATGATCAACAAATTGATATTATAATAAAAACTATAGCAAAGAAGGAATGATACCCTATAGAATTGATGAGTTACTATGGGACAAATATGTCTATAAAGTTTGTAGAGCATCATGTCATGGGACAAGACTTTAACAAGTCACTGTGCAACACTTAGCTTGGAAATAACCCCTAAACCCGAACCAAGTCAACCTTCCCCTATGCTAGGTGTAGCCTACCCACTAGACTAAGGGGTTAGCAACATGCAAAAGATGAAGGTAAGAGCTGGGAGAAGAAGAGATTTTATTAGATCGTAAGGAAGTGTTACAAGAGTTTAAAGTACATAACCCTTCTATGCACTCACTATAACCATCCTCTCTTTGGGGCAAATGGGCCTCCTATTTATAGAAGAGGTCTACCCTATCCAACCCTCCAGGCAAAGGCTCTAAAATGCTTTGAAAACTTCCCTCATATTTACACTTCTAGAAGACTCTCCAAGTCTCCCTCCTTAGCCTAATCTAGATAACTTTAGAACAAACTACTCTAGAATTATGTATAGGGTCCTAGCAAACTCTATACATAGGCTTTGCCCAGCAAGCCCACCCAAACCAGTGTCTGATCTTCATTTCTGCAGCCCTAATGCTTTCAAAGAATTCTAGGTGGCTCTAGATCACACTCAAGTCTCGACATCTAAAATCTTTTGTATAACTCTGGTGTGGGCACTTCATACACTAGAGTAGCATGCCTCCTGGACGCTCTTGGCTGCTCTCACACGCGCCAACATATTGACCTCGTGACCTTCCCTTATGATCCAAGTGTCGATACCACCGTTGGCAAGGCCCGCCTCGTGAGTGTTCCACTCCACAACCACGTGAACAAAGGCATCAACACCGTGACTTCATACTGTGATGCCTCTAACCTAGGCCCCCAAACTTGCGCTCCATGACAGTTAGCTCTAGAAGAATTAAAAATTTTAGCAAGATAAGAATAAAAGCTCTTTTTAAAGCAAATAAAAATTCAAAGACTAAAAGATCAAAATAAATATAGTTAGAGGACTAATTATTCTCCTATAAAATAAAAATATTTTCATTAAAGATAACGAATTAAATAAAATTAAAATGAATATGAAATATAATAGACAAAATTGAAAAAATCCAAAAATAATAGATAAAAATAAAAAAGATGTGAAATTAAGTTAGCAAATGATTTGTTAAATTAAGTTGAATTATTGCGAAATGAAATCTTCGTCAATTGAGTTACTAGCCTACTACCTGGGGTGCTGGACTGCCCCATGGTCTCGGGAATACCTAGGCGCATCTAGGGTTTTTTTTAAAAAGAAAATTCAAAAAAAGCTAAAAATGAAACAGTATTGTAAAACGTACGTTTTCTCACAGGTCAGCGACCCAAAATTGCCATGCCAACAACTTTGAAGAGCCTGACCCAGGTTTCAGAGGTTGAAGAAGGGTGACGTGGTTTTCCAAATCTTGTCTTTCTTTTAAAATTTAGTCCCTTGATTCTTGTAAAATTTCTAGTGCAGTCCTTAACTTCTTTTCTTTTTCAATTTTTAAACTTTTTAAAAAAAAAGTTAGCATCAGGCCAACAATTTGTTTTACTGAAACGTGAAAGCAGAAATTTAAAGTTTTATGGAAAATGATTTTTATAGGACAAAAATTAAAAAAATTGATCAATTTCATAATTAATGGTATTCTACAATTATTTGAAAATGTCATATACAACCAGTATTTATATAGACGCTTCAATTAGCTTTGGTTTTGCTTTGAGACAACATTTTTTAAGTTAGATATTTTAAATTTAAATATAAATTACACAGATATGAGTTAGAAAATAAGAAATGATTATGTGACTATTTAAATATACTTCACTTATTCCTAAATTTTAGTTTTGAATTCCCTCCTAATGGTTTAAACATTTTCGTCAAAGCTCTCTCCTTTTACTTCTCTGTTAAGAAATAATGGAGAAAGAAAATCACTTTTGATTAGATTCTAATTAATTCTAATGATTTTTGTTAAGTTTAAGTACTATTTTGGTCCCTCAACTTTTTCACTTTGACACTAAAATCATCTCTTAACTTTAAAAAATACTAAATTTACCTTTAAATTTTTATTTTCAGTATCAAAATGATCCTTTCATTAGTTAAATAATAGGTGACACGTTAAAAATCAATTCTTTTCCTGCTTAACTAATGACATAAAAAAAATATATATATATAGTTGACCAACTTTTTTTATAAGTTGGCATTTGTTTTAATTTAAACTTAATAATGTCAA